ACCGGCATTCTGTCCCGACATTTGATGACTCTTAAAAACGAAGATTCGGTGCCCTTTGTGGTGCCCTCTGGAATTGGGTGTCTCTTGAAAACAAAGGTGCTGGTGCTCAAAGACAAACGCTTTAGTGCTCCTTCGCCGACCGTGCTGATCCGTATTTTGTTAAGGACGCGGTACGGACATTGCGGTGCTCTGGAATTAGGTGACTGATGCAAGTTTTCTAACCTTTAATATACCCTAGTCATTTGGAGCGTCTTGAAAATAAACATTATGTGGTTCTGACGTGAAGGTTTTCGTGCCCTTTCACCCTGTGATTATGGCGCCCCTTCGGGCTGATAAAACGCTATGGAGGCCCAAGGGGTGGAGAGCATGGGCCCCATGCCTCCCTCCTCTCTGGATCCGGCCCTGCCTACGGGGAAAATTTCCGCGCTTGTTCTTTGGTTTGGTTCTTTGGTTGCCTATTCGGTTCCGGCTTACTTACAACCATTTCCCAACCGGCAAGCGAGCACAGTGCAACTTCATGTTTGTCTGATTATCAGGCATCTCAAAGCGGGCTTAAATAAAAGGATGATTTGCAGAAAGTGAACACATTTATATGTCATAGTCGTATGCAGGAAAGAGTAGTTGGACATGCGGATGTTTGTGTCATAAAAGGTATTGCTGGACGTGCCGCAGATATGATTTCCTTTTGACAAAAATACTTCACTTTCATCACTTCTAGCATTGAACAAATATGCCACCTTACCAAGCAATCTGCATGTGATTGTCCTGAAAAACTTGTTGCTCAACTTTTGAAGAAATTTGCTACTTTTTGACCAAAACCGTTTTGAGATGTGCTACTTTACGACCAATGACTGCAAAGATACAGGTCCGTCAAAAGTCCGCCAAAAGCGCGGCTAGGCGGATCGAAAGGCGTACAAAATTTTCAGTGGCCCATCTCACGACTCACTTGGCCTCGTTCGTAAGCGCGCGCAGTCTCGACTGCAGACCAGTGGTAACTGATGTGCTTTGCACTTATACGCGCATGCCGACTTCCACAAGTTTTCCAGGCTTGGTGAAAGCCGGGGTCGGTGGAACGCCTTTCAGATGGAGGCTGAAGACAGGCCTACCGCCGATCGATAACCCGGCGGCTTTAATCACTTGGCCGCATATGCGGTAGTCCCTCCACCTGCTGGTACAAGCTGTCGCTTCGGTTGAACAGTTACAGAACATCATTCCGTCGGGGAATCGGGTGGTCAAGCTGGTCGTCGGGTTCTTTGGGTGGAATTCACCAGCAGGGCATCTCGTGCGGCATGGCACGAGCGAGACCATCACAGGTGTGAGAGCTTTCCGCTCCTTGCACGGAGATGGCGTCAAAGACTAAGCTAATGGAGCCAGACGCATGCGGCAACCGATACCAATGCGTCTAACCTATGGGTTGGGAAATCATCCACCCGTGAGAGTATAACAGGTGGGTTCTCACCGATGTACATACATAGCTTGCACGCTAATCGACAAAGCACATTGCTTAAAAGGTATCTTCCACGAATCTGGCCAAAGTCAAAAAGTTGAATCGACTGAGCAGATAAACTTCATTAACCTGTGGTCCTAGCTGCCTGCCTAGCTGCCTGCCTACCTAACTGCGACCAACTAACCTAACACATATTGGTTAGATATCAGCCAGGATACAAACAGCAAGACACGAGTGCAGTTTCCACGGACCGATATCAGTGGAACACATTGCTTGCGAGGTCGGCTGCCAAAGCGGTGACACTCGTCGCTTTTGCAGATCACCGACACGGCTACGTGTCGGCCAGTTATAAGGTCCGATGGGGTTGACACGCTCGCTTACAACCTGCCGTCGGCGGCTGGTGTCGCGTCGAAATCGGCTCTGGAGGATGACATCCGACTTTTTCGTCATAAACGCCGCAAAACGAGCGGGTCCGTTGTTAACACACGAGAACGAGAGAACGAACGTTGTTTACACACGAGAACGCTGGACCGCCTGCGCATGTCGACCCACTGTTCTGCCAATACGACTGTCCTTCGTTTTCTACTTCGTCAGAATATGCCGATCCCTTATTACTGCGAGACTGAGTCGTTGAAGGCTGAACCCGGTTTGGACCCATGCTCTTCAATTTTGTTTTTGTCAGTTGAAAATGTTACCGTTTCCATGTAAATCCAGCGGCGAAGTGGAATGGTAGTGATAGTGCAGTGTCGCAGGGAAATCCCGCCGAACCAAACAGTTTGCATGCTTAGCTTCTTATCCGGCACAACCTTTACAAAGTTCCACTTCACATTGCTGAAAACTGCATGAACTTGCAATTAAACGGTTGCAATGGCATCGGCTTCCAGAAAGCGCGACGACTGGACGGGGTCGCGCAAGATGAAGATGTTCTCATTGCTAAAATAAGACTCGCCTGGTCTGCACCTTCGCTCGTGACCAGATATTGTGAACGACTTCAGTTAGCAGCCTTTGGCCCTTCTTCCCCTGCGCACGTACTGTACCACGTGCGCAATCGAGTACGCGCGTACTCCAGAACGTGAATGCTCGAATACGTGCGCCCCCGATGAAGAAACGCTAGCCGGTGGACAGCCGCCTTCTCGACGTAACACAAGACCATCACGGTAAAAGAAGAGCCCAAAGATGCCCACCCAGGCGACCGCACCTTGATTTGTTTGGTTCCGTTGGCCTTGGATAAAAAAACGCCCCTTTGGGCTACACAGACAGTTTATGAGAGCAGTAGAGTTGATGGGATCGGCGCCAGGTGTAAGGCGCGGGCCGCGTGCCCGGCCTGGTCACAGATCCGGGGTCTGACCCCGCCCATAACCACCACGTGCTGCAGCTCGACCTGGCGCGTACTCGGAGTGGAGGCGGGGGCGGGGCGCCGGCACGCCCAGCCCTCTAACGGCGGGCGGGTGCCATGTCCCTGAGTGGTGGGGTGGGACGCTCAGGTATGTAAAGGCATGTTGGTGGCATGTGCCTCCGGTGGTAGCACGTGTCTTGAAATGATGTTTGAAAGCCCACCCATTTATTTCACTTCAAAATCGCCTTGAAGGGAAAAGTGGTCCACCCTCTCATAAACACGATACCTCAGGGGTATACGGCTTGTTCCATGAGTCATGCACGCTTCAGTAATTAATAATTTATCCACACGATAATAAAGATCGATAGCGTCTGCGTCAGTGGGCTCATTACTAGCGTTTGCTGCTCTTAAAAGCGACCATTTTTAAACGCCAAGAGCAGAGACGTAAACCAGATTTAGTCAACGCAACAGGGAGGCCTTAGTTGTATGATCTCACTGGGCATGCCAGACACAGCGTGTAAGGCACGGGTGTCGATTTGTATTGTTATGTGAGGGGCCCTGACTCCGCTCAATGCCATACATAGCGTGTGAGGCACGGGTGTCGATCTGTATTGTTATGTGAGGGCCCTGCCCCCCCCCCCCCCCGTTGAGCTGGGCACACTCAATTTTGGTTTGGGCCCCCAATATATTGGGTTGGAATATTACAAAGACGTAAGAAGGAGTTGACCATTACGCAAAGACAATATTCTTTGATCCTTTTTCGCAGTGGCATCGGCATGGAACGTGCAGCTGGGCAATTTCAGTCCACAACCTTAATAGCATATCCTCGACTGAGGGGAAACTTCAGACGCTGGGGCAAACTGCTTTGCAATTCGATTTCTTTTTTTGTCCGTCAAACGTAAGCCCAGACCAAGTTATAGAAAAGAGACATTTATGTTCTGGATGTGTTGAGGATCTGAGCAAACAGCTCCGGAATACAGGAATGACCCAAGTATTTCATGGCTAGGCTTGCCCCCGTCCACCACAACCAAAAATAAGTGTCACCGTCCACGGCCCCCCCTAAACGTGTGTCTGTGTCGCCCAAAGGCGGAAGGGGCACGTGCCTCCAGTGCCCCATCCCCTCCGGGTACCTTTCTCTAAGACTGGTATGAAGCTTAAATCAGAGACTGTTTTCCAGTGATACAACAACCGCAACATAAATTGCCTTTCGCCAAAAACAGATCGGGTTACATCCTTTGACAAAATCATGTGGGAGAGGAGAGGTCGTCGGATCCCCGGCTCGGCCATTCAATCATTTACGAAAATCGACACCCCTGGTGTGCGGCACATGAAGCGCTGTGCACATTAAGTGCAAACTGCACTATTCACTTTCATTCTGCAATACACTGCATTGTTAAACAGCCCACACGACATGGGCGCCATCCTGCACGCTCGCCCGCCGTCATGGGGGCGGATGGGAACACGGGCGTGGCGAGGGCTTGAAATGTGCGAACTGTGCGAAATCGAGGCTCAAGAGGCAACATTAGTGTTTGTCTTACCATCTGGGACGGCTATCGCGTTGACCATACCCCCTCTGAATTTACCCCTCGCAGATATGGCACACCGCCATTCGTTGAATGAGACACTAGGCATGATGTTAGTTCCTTCGTGCAGAGGCGGCCGTTTCGATCAATAATAAGTGTTCATTCCATCGGCTTAAATCTCTGTGTTTCTCAGCGTCCTCCACTCATGACCCTGGCCGGACCATGTGTTCAATCGCGGCGGATCTGCCCGATTCATAGTCCCTCCAGCCCGCCGAACCCGTCGTATCTGGCCCTCCATACGGGCCACGCCTTCAAGCTCGGGGATCTGCCCAACCCAGGATCCCTCCAGCCCGCTGAGTCTGTCGTACCTGTTACTCCACATGGGCGCCTGTTTTATATTCTCGACGCCCTCCGTCGTAACGATATCGGACGGCTCATGACATCAGCACGCGACGGCCACGCTTAAACAAGGCCGCGGTAGCACGGGCAACGACAAACGTCTTGACAAATGTGGCAGGTGTTGCGGTTGCTCGCACGGTAGCGCCAACGCAGAACACCGGCTCGCCAAGCCGGCAAACTGTGCACCAACTCGCATTATCGGAGACGTCGCCGCGACAAAACGCGTTGTCGCATCACCTGACAAGATTAAATGGGAAAGGGCGTGGCGGAAGACGTTCAACCGACAACCACTTACCGTTAGTAGGACGAAGAGTATGCTGGGAAGATTCATGGCTTCCGTCAGGCTGACCGCCTGCGGCTACACAGATTGCGACTGGCACCTGCCGCTGTTCATGCTGCACGCCTTCAGCCTCATGCTGGCCGCCGCCGCCGCACTGCACTCCCCGGCGCGGAGGAGCCCGCGCTGCCGCCGCACGCGGCTCTTTCGCCGAGGCACTGCCAGTTGCGAGGAAAGTGGAGCTACGCCGGCAATGTGGGTCAGGCAGCGCAGCCGCCGCCGGCGGGTCAGTCTAACCCGACGGGGGCGGCGGCGCGAGTTCAATGCCTGCCGACTGACCGGTGACTAACACCGGTCGGAGAAAGTGACCCCCGAAGTCACGGACCAGCCCTACCCACGGCGGCCCCGCCAGCGAAAGCGGCGCCGGCCGGCGGGCGGCACCGGCCCAGCGGCGGGCGGTAGGAACCGGACCATCCGCAATCGCGGGGATTCAGCAGCAAACACTGATCGACCGCGCCGCCGCTCGTGACCCCATTCGGCCCAAGGTCACGTCTTCCGCGGCCCGCGGCTGCGATGAAGATCTCCCGTCTGTGGATTTTCACGCCGCTCTGGCGACGGTTCGCTCTCTGCTCGGTGGCGGGCCGCGTCCGGCCGGCGCGGGCCGGGCGGGGGCGGCGCGGCTGGACGCGACCGTTCCCATTCCCAGTGGCAGCCGGCCACCGGGGGCTGTATCCAGCCCGCTCACGCAAATAAACGAGACGACGAGTCGTGACTGCGCACCGTTCCAGGTCAGGGGAGCGGCGGAGATGAGGGCTGGCATCGCAGGCCGCTCTCCGCCCCGACGCGGCCCGGGGCACGGGCAATTAGGGGAGGCAAATGGCTGGCACCGGGACATCACGGGGCCTATCCTGGAGGCCGCGCGACGACCCGCCGGCCGAAAAGCAGGCACGAAGGCCTGCAGATGCAGCGTGCGCTGTCTGCGCTCCGAGGGCCCGGCGCTTCCCCAGCAGCCGAGCTCGGGCCCACTCTCTCTAGTCTCCTGCCCCGCTCACGAGGCCCCGGCGCTTCCCCAGCAGCCGAGCTCGGGGCCCACTCCTCTGGACTGCCCCGCTCCGAGGGCCCGGCGCTCCCCAGGAAGCCGCTCGGTCCTCGGGCCCCTTCCTCTAGCCGGTTCCGCTCCAAGGGCCCGGCGCTTCCCCAGCAGCCGAGCTCGGGCCCCCTCCTCTAGCCGGTTCCGCTCCAAGGGCCCGGCGCTTCCCCACCAGCCGAGCTCGGGCCCCCTCCTCTGGCCTGCTCCGCTCCGAGGGCCCGGCGCTTCCCCAGCAGCCGAGCTCGGGCCCACTCTCTAGCCTGCCCCGCTCCGAGGGCCCGGCGCTTCCCCACCAGCCGAGCTCGGGCCCACTCCTCTAGTCTGCTCGCCGCCACCGGCAACGCAATGCATCCATTCAGCTGAAGGCGAAAGCGGAAAGCGGCTTGATAAAAACCGGATGCGAGGTAAATTTATTCCGGCGTTCGCCTCAAAGTTTCACCTGCGGTCAACCAGCCTCAGGACTGCACATAGCCTGAACAGGCTGGGCAGCAGGGGGTGTTATCTCAGGTGATCATATCTGACCACTGAACAGCAAGGGAGAGAAGTGACACACTCAAATAGCGATATGCCACACATTTTGAGAACTTCACGACATTGGTAGAAGTTCTGTTCACTGATATATACATACTACATACATATATATATATATATATATATATACACACATATATATATATATATATATATATATATATATATATGTATATATGTATATATTCTTAGATCAAAGATCTCAACACTAGATTTGGATCCGACTTCAAGGCCGGTTAAGTATGCCTTGGGGTCACGCAATTGGCGTACATTCGCCTCCATGCATGCCTTCTTGAAATGACAAAAATCCCTCAAAAGTCTGCCATCAAAAGTGTTACCATTTCGACGGACGCCTGGCAAAGGGATGTCTATCGAGCGCAAAAGGGCGTGTTGACGCCAATACCGCTGGGCCTGCTCGACTGCCACGCGCCCGAGCTGCGCGCGCCGCGCGCCGGTGCTCGATGATGAGCGCGAGCCGCGCGCCACAGCGCTCGCTAATGCGCCCGAGTCGGCAGCTGCTGGAGCGGGGAAGTTCAAACGCACGCCCGCGGATCAGCGCAATCCAAGGTCAAACGCACGCCCGCGGATCAGGGCAATCCAAGGTCAAATACATGCCCGCGGATCAGGGCAATCCAAGGTCAAACGCACGCCCGCGGATCAGCGCAATCCAAGGTCAAGCGCACGCCCGCGGATCAGGGCAATCCAGGGTCAAATACATGCCCGCGGATCAGGGCAGTCCAAGGTCAAACACACACCCGTGTACCAACACATATGTGTATTCTCGACGTGTGTGCGGAAGAACGGTTTGAGTCTGAGTCAAGGTACGTCGTAATACATGGATCGGACGACGAAGTGACGTTAACGACGCACATTACCAAAACACTATCCGTGAGCGCGTGGAATGCCCTCCAAGAAAGCGACAATTCGTTGGGGTTCCCCTCCATCACATGAAGACAGCAACATGACACTTGTGCGCCGCGAGTGGCAAGTTTTGGCGGCCGAAAATGTGACTTCCGGTTCAGTCGCGGCCGGAAGCCACCGACTTCCGGCGCGCGCATGGCCGGACAGACAGCTTTCGGTGAACATTGGCCAGGATGCCCGACGTCTGTGACCGCTCTCCGAGCCAAGCACGTCAAATGCCGAGGAATATGACATATGCGAGTGACACGACACAAAATGTGACACAAGACATGTAAGTGGCACCTGACATGTGACACGCGACGAAATGTGGCACGTGACTTGCGACACACTCAAGTTTCCGAGCCACGAGACCCGAGCGAACCAACCTATCCGCCTGTTAATACCCTCCAGCATACCGGCGGCAGGCATCCCCCACCTGGCGACCCACCGCGGCTGCGACCGGTGCGTCGGCCCGCCGCGCCCCGACAGGTCGCCCGGCGCTGTCGGCCGGCCGCGCCCCCGACAGGTCGTCCGGCCCGGCGCTGTCGGCCGACCGCGCCCCGACAGGTCGTGCGGTGCCGACGCCGCGCGCATGATATGACTCGGAGAGACTGGCCACCGTCGAGGACAGCGCGGCTAATATCGGAGTGGAGCGGCGAACCACCAGCGGCGCGCCGTCCGCCAACCAGCCGCCAGCGGCTCTCATACTGCCGGCCGTGGCTCTCAAACCACCCGCCCGCACTGGACGCCGCCACCCCGTCCGCGCAAACAACGAAAAACATAAGGTACCCAAAATAAATACGACATATGCACCGCACACACCGGCGATGAGTGGGCAGCGACCCCTGTCTGGGGCCGGCAGCAGCGACGACCCGTGAGTGAGTGCCGAGGCGGCGCGGCCGGGGCGCGAGCGCGGCCCGCGCCCGGCGCGTCCGCCAGCGGCGGCTCAGCTGCGGCGGCCACGCGCGTCCGGAGCCGGCCGGCCGCCACAGAGAGCTCCGTCTCCAGCGGCCGGCGCAGGCGCCACAGCGGCGCGGCCGTCCGACCGTCTTCCCTCTCGACTTCTGACTTGCTGAGCTTCGACCGCGCCTCCCAGCGGAGACGTCGCAAGGCTCGCTGAGTCCGCTCTCGCCATTCGCGATACACCACGGTCAGCATGCTCCCGCGACCACGAGGCTCCCTTCAACATGGCGCTATCGCTCCCCCGGGAGACGCCACACGCCCGGGATGTGTGGTGCACACGCAATCCCCGCACGAGCCAAGCTCCACATCGCGTGAATCATTCCTCAAGAACCCACCCACTCATCCCAGCACACAAGCGCCTCCTACCGGAGCATATGCGGCCCCTTCCAGTGCCAAAGACTCCTGACGAAATACCAGCCGTTTCTGCCTCTCCCCTCCTTCTCCCACCAGGCGCACCTGTCACCCCTCCACGGCCGCCGCCGCGCCCTGCCCAGCCCGGCCGCCCGTCAGCCGGGCGGCGGCGGCTTCTGCGGCGCGCCGGCCGGAGCGGCCGCCGCCGAGCCGGAGGCGTCGCGCCGGCGCAGCGCGGACCGGTCGGCCTGCAGGCTCCGCCGCAGCGCCGCCAGCCGCCGGAACAGCGCCTGCCGCACCGACGCCGTGAACTTGTTCACCAGGCACAGCGCCGACGCCACGGCGAACACGATGTTGTAGAAGAAGACGATGTAGAAGTCGCCGAGCCAGCGCACCTTGCCGTAGTGTCCGAGCAGGTCGAAGTTGGTGATGCCGAGCGTGCGGATGAGCAGCGGCAGCGCCGACGAGATGACCAGCATGACGGCGCAGTTGGCGATCAGCGCCGGCAGCGGGGTGTCGGCCACCGCCGGCCGTAGCCGACTGAACGCCGGCAGCGAGTAGAAGCCGACCAGCGAGGTCAGCAGGAAGTAGCCGATGAGCACGATCTCCAGGGCGGCGCCCACCGGACCCAGGGCCGACAGCGACGTGATGCCGAGCGTCACCTGGTCACACGGCGAGCAAGGTCACGGCCTCTGGGTCTGGCCACACGGCGAGCAAGGTCACGGCCTCTGGGCCTGGCCACACTGGGCCTGGTCACACGGCGAGCAAGGTCACGGCCTCGGCCACGGCCTGTCCTCTGGGTGGACAGCGGCGCGCTTTACACACAATTTCAGGGTGCTTCTCTTGAACCTGGCGGCACAGTGGTTTTGGGTGGGTACAGGCACATTTACGCACGATTCCAAGAGCTGTATTTTGGGTTCCTGCCGATTGATGGGCTGCATTTTCGGCTTATTTTGGCCCCCTTCGGTGCTTTGGCGAGGACACTTCGGGATGCATGGCACTGATCACCATGCGGTTTTGACATACTTCGATCTCAGCTTCAATCATCATCACCAGCACCAACTCTGAGACGCTTACAACATCAAGACAAGGCAGAGACTCCCGAGGTTACACGGAGAAGCACCCCGAGACCGAATCCCAGCGTTCTGCTGGTGCCAGGGAATACGTGCTGCCATCTGTGGTCACCTCCGTTAGAACAGATGCGAATGCACAATAGGACCTATTGATCTCACAGTTCCTGTTCTTTTTCACAGTTCCTAGCCGGAGATATGTGGCCACAGTAAGCGCCAGCCCTCCGCGAACAAAGGGAGACGAAAGCTCCCGAAATCAACCTGGACGCCGGTGCAGAGGTAGCACCGCTTCAAACTGACAGTCAGGTACAGATAAACCGGAACTAAAGAGGGCAGCACCGGAGCATGCAAATGGACGAACGTCTACCACAATTCAGAATGGGCATGAACGGCACGAGATAAGCACGCGCATCCCAGACCGTACCCACGAATGGGAGTAGAAGAAAAGCTTACGAGGCTTCGGACTGCAGGCACGGCACACGGCAAGTTAATGGAGAGCAAAGCCAAACAATATACCCAGGGGGCACATACGTTACCCACCTGTCTGGCACAGGTGGGTAGCACGTATGGCGTTGCCTGTCTCTATATGGCGTTGCTTGCCTCTCACCCTGGCAGGAAGGGCGGGCGCCGCGGGGAATCGAACCCCATACCTCTGGTCTTCTCTCTTCTTCTCCAGATCTCCAGACTTCTTTCTCATCCTATGATCAGGCTTCTCACCCATCCCACCGTCAGGCTTCTCACCCGTCCCACCGTCAGGCTTCTCACCCGTCCCACCGTCAGGCTTCTCACCCGTCCCACCGGCAGGCTTCTCACCCGTCCCACCGGCAGGCTTCTCAGCCCTGCAGGCCGTCTCTCCCGGCCCCGACTCACCTGCTGCGTGCTGAGTGGTAGCGCCTTGACGCCGACCAGCAGCTCCACCGAGTTCCGCAGCACCATGAACTCGGCGGCGGCCGTCAGCGCCAGCAGCGCCAGCATCACCAGCGGGTAGCCGAGGTTCCGCTCCAGCGGTGAGGCGCGCCGGCGCCGCTCCAGCCGCGCCAGCTCCTCGCGCACGGCCGCCAGCCGCACGGCCGGCTCGGCCTCCTCCTCCTCCGGGCAGAGGAGCGGCTGGGGCGCGGCGGCGGCGGCGGCAGCCAGGCGGCGTACCAGCGCGGCCGCCTCCAGCCGCGCCGCCGCGCACCGCTCCTCCACGTCGTCCATGAGATGCGGCCGCACCAGCAGCCGGCCCACCAGGTCGAAGAGGCGGGCGAAGCCGAGCGGCGTGCAGAGCAGCAGCAGCAGCACGCCGAAGCTGGAGATGAAGGAGTAGAGCAGCGGCAGGTGCGCGGTCCACACCGTCTGCAGGCTGCGCCGGCCGCTCTCGCCGTCCAGGAAGGCCGACAGCACGTACGCGATGCCGACGACGAGGACGGCGAGCAGGGAGAGCACGGTGAACGTCTCGTAGACGCGCGAGAGGAGCCCCTTGCGTGCGCCGGCGAAGCCCTCCGACTCGGTGAACAGGTACGCGAACGGCAGCAGCACGAACAGCGACAGGTTGGACAGCAGGAAGATGTACTTCCAGATGCCCTGTATCAGCGAGCTGTTGAGCCACTGCATGTAGTACGAGTCCGGGTAGTAGAGCAGGATCTCGTTGGCCGTGATCGAGATGGGCAGCAGCAGGGCGGCGCCGCCAGCCAGCGCCAGCGAGAACGTGCAGAGCAGCAGCGCGGTGCGGTGTACGGTCGCCTCCTCGTCATCACGCACGGCGTACTCGGCCTGCTCGCGCCGCGCGTACCGCTGCACCAGGCCGTACGCCAGCGCCAGCAGCAGTACGAACAGCAGGAAGGTGACCACATACTCGCGCACCAGGATGTGGAAGGCGCGCTGCCAGGGGTCGCCGGCCGTCAGCGCCTCGGGCGGCTCGTCGGCCAACTCCATCAGCGGCCGGTGGCCCGGGGCCCGGCGCGCACGCCCGCCTGCCGGGGCGACAGCAGTCAGTAGACAGCCAGCGTACCCGGCGACCAGCAGCGAATGGTGCGGCCCGATACGCTACGTTGTGCTTTGCCACAAAGAAATTCCACAGACGTAGCATATTCACACCAATAAAAAGAGGACATGTCATCTATTCGTCAGAGTATAAATGTGCGTTGCTCACTGTGGTACATGCTTTATGAGTGTCCGCTTATTCGACGGCACATGCATTCCACTTATCTATTTCACATCAACGTGTCTGCTGCTGATTGGCCATGGGGGATGACCAGACATTATGCCAGTTGACAGGGTCAAACCCATGGCTTTTCATGTCTGGTGAAGTACAAGTGTGTGATTAGGGCTTTACAACACACTCAGCTGCTGAGGCTGTATGACATCACCTGCCTCTCACCCTGGCAGGAAGGGTGGGTTCAGCTGGGAACTAAACCCAGCACTCCTGGTTTCCCAGACATGTGGCTGAGCCACTGCACTATCAGTGCCACAATAAAATGGCACCAGAAGTGCAGTCAGAGAACCCAGATAAACAGGGTCAAATTCCACTCAGGGCCTGCTCTTCCTGTCAGGGTGAGAGGCAGGTGACACTGCATAGCCTCAACAGCTGAGTGTGCTGTTAAGTTGCCAGGACACACACACATCAATAAAATCACATATCAATAAAACATATTAATAAAATCATATCAGTCAGTTGCACACACATGACCATAGTCAAAGGAAATTGTTTGGGAAGGAAAGCAAATCATATTGTCACACAAATTAAAACTATACATCCTATCATCCCCTCCTATACATGTGGTTATCATTTTAAGTGTGCATGATGTGAAACATAAAAACTTCTGAATTGTATTCATTATCAGTCTGGCTACCAAGCATGCCATGTGAAATAGCAAGTTCATGCGGTGTGGGTGAAATATGAATTAAACAAAAACTGAAGTGAAATTTAAGATGTCTGGAGATGCATCATCAAATGGATTGGATGGTGCACTCAAGCTGATGTGCAACATGCTTGAAAATTGCATCAGTCAGTGAATATATAATGTGTGAGATCTGAAACACTTAACCAGATTATGCTGCAAAGGTTGATTAAATCATATTAGCACATTACAGGCTCTGACAAGCAGGCCGGGCCAACATCTGTGTATGCAAAGGCATACCCTGCCTGCAGCAAGCACAGACACATGCCAAAGCAATTTATTCTTAGATTCTATCACACAGATCATCCCTCTCAGTTTCATATTATAAGGATGTGTATTGAATACACATTCAAATGATGCATCTCAGGCATATATTCCAGGGTGGTATTGATAGAATAAGATCCTCAATGATCTTGAAGAAACATCAGCTATCAATTTAGCCTTTTAAAGTGCTTTAAATTTCAAGCTTGCTGCCAAATGGAAATACTGGCCTGATCAGGCATGTTACTGGTTAGCATCTTACATTCCATATTTGCAAACCACTACGAATGGGGATCAGGCCTGCAAATCAACCTATGACTTGCAAAAACCTAACCTGTTGTGAAGGTTGAGCTCTAATTAGAACTCCACCATTTTCAGCTCCTTTGAGGTGCAGAGAAATGTGTAACAAATCTCATTTAGATTTAATGACATGCTCAATGCTGACTTATAGGCTGTTTCGCCGACAGGTTGACAATGACATGCTCAAGTGCAATGTTTCTAAAAATAATTATAACCCAGCACACATAACATCAAAGAACCAGCCAACAGCCTCTACCACAGTTCTCCACTGCCCATCAGCTTTCAGGCTGCTTGCATGTATGGTCTAAGTTGATTTGATCTCAGATCGCAGGCTGGGATAATGCACAATAAACAGAGCAACTGCATGTATGATTCAATCTAGATGCAATGCAATGCAAACAACTTCCAGTCTCACTACCCAGACTACCCACTACCCAGACAGATGTTTCCAGCTGAGCATCACATACCACTCTCTAATGAAGGGATTCCTACACAACATACTGTAGAGAAACACCAAATGCTGATAGAAGTGGTGTAACTTGCAAAGGAAGCCTCCATAGTTCACAATGACAAGGATCAGAATGCACATCTCCACGACTGTTCCTCCCTTGATGATCCCTGTAACTCCTGGTTTTAAGTGACAACAAAGGAGATCCTGAGGGTATATTCGTCCAGAATAAATATCGCATCTGTAAGTATGAACTATATAAAATTGTACCTACCTATAACCTCACTACGCATCAGTTTCACACTCCAGGGTGAAATGACTTCTCCTAAGGCATTCCTTCTCCCGGCCTCCAATTCAATCCAGCTATTATAAGCAAGCAATAAACTTGGCCTACCACACGTGCCTATTAAAAAAATCGAATACACCTACCATTCTTGCCACGGCACGCATCCTCCGGGACCGCTCCTCCCCACAGCGCTCGCGATCTTGAACTGCCTCAAACCAGGCGCAAAGTTCAGTGAACGTGGCGCAGATCGAACAATGATTGTCAACTGCGTAAATTGAAATATCAAACGGTTTAAGCATGAGCGCGAAAAAACACCACGGAAGTGGTGCAAACACCCTACAACTAACCCCAGTCACACTACGGGTGTATTGCTGAATGTGCGCTGGCACGAAGTCAACAGCAAGTCCGATCGGTCAAACAGACCCGTCAAATCAGCGCCGGGTCTCAAACTGGAAATGAGTAGTTTTTTTTAGCAGTTTTTAGAGCCGTAGTTTCGCAAGATGTGATGGGAGAGGGGCCGACAAGCGAAAAATGACTCAACCTGCTGTCAAAAATACACCTTCAAACGGTTTTTTGTCGGAATCGGGCCACTCTCTTCTCAAAGTTGTGAAGCTGGAACCGAAATTGGGGAGGGGCCTCGGCCTCCCTCTATCTGAATAGCGAATTACAAACCGTGACCGAGCATAAGAGGAAGACCGCAAGGAAGGTTATGTGCGAATCACTTGTCCCACACATTCCAGATGAAAACCGGGGCTGACGGGACAGAACAGCCTTTGTTTGCGAACGCATGGAAATCCTTCCAGCGATGCATCCTGCAACTTGTGGGCAACGTGTGCGTGACCATGCGAACGCCTGCCGTGTGTACTGAAGTGAAGTATGCAATATTTGGCACGCAGTGGTCTTGCAGCATCTCCAAGGCGGAGGCCCACAGGCTCCTCTATGCAAGTTGAGATGTACAAAACAGGACTTCGTTGAGGCAGCTGCTCGCCTCTGACTCAGGACTAGCAAGTGACGCCCCATGCATCTGGACCATCGCGGGGGCTGGAGCCATTCCAAAGGACTTTGAGAAAACAACAAACGGCAAGAATATATTTTTAGGTACTTGTAATGTAACGCATTATTGATAGCACGTATTTTTGTTATATTCTGTCCAGAGCACTCAACATACTTCCCATGTTTTACCATGTCAAACGCATATGTAGTAGTGTGACGATCTCGCGTTGCTGGCCAGCGCTTCGCGCCAGTCCTCATCGTGAAATACCACATTGCAGTTAGTGGCCACATCCATGCATCGTGATTCAGTTTAATGCACACTTGCTCCGCCTGCCACACGGTATAGATGTGCGGGCCCGGAAGAGTTTCGTTCGGCGTTCACCGCAAAGCAACCCCGGCACAGCGCACCAGGAAAGGGAAATATGCTCACTGCATATGTATGTGTTTTTATTGCCATGTCCATACTCGGCCGAATTTCGAACTTAACACTCAACTTTCTGACGCCAAACCTCGATACTCGTCAAAGAACCCGCCTCATCAATAAACCGATATCAAAACATACTTCGCTCAAGTCAAATTGTAGCGTGCAGACATTGATAAGATACGAAGGAACGTAAAGGCCGCAGAGTCCTACCCTCTTTGGCCCGTCCCCAAAAACCTACCCCAGACTGGCCACGGTGCAGAGCGCCTCAAATGGCCGACCTCTGCGGCTTGAATAGCGATTACGCCGGAGTGATGTAAGCATTTCCATCGCGCATGCGCACCACCCTGCTATAGCATCTGGAACAGATTCGGAGTTGTTTTTTCATCGCTCGGCCGCCGGCCTCGGCTTCCCGAGCCAGCGCGCGCGCCAGCCACCCTCTGCCATCTAGCGAGACTCCTCCGAATGAGCCGAACCTCCGTGCTGTTTACAGCCGAGGCCCTCGCCATACGCAAAGGAATGTTGTGCCCGTCAACGGTTCCGAGCGCCCGCACCACGTCGACCGCGGAACGGCCACCCGAGCGCCGCACCGCCGCGGGTGAATGTGTTTGCAGGAGGGAGTTGGTGACGGGCTCCAGGGTCGGCTTTCAGCAGGCTTGGTCAGCGTTCAACCGGCGCGGCTGGCTGTGTTCATGCCTCCGGGCATTGACCACGTGACCCGGCCGAGGTCGCGTGTGCGGGCCGGGGGACGGCAAACTTGGGATAGGGACGGCCGGGTGTGGCCGAGAGTCAAAGGGAGTGTTCCACATTTAGATGGGCGCTGGAACTGAAAGAGCCGTCTAGAAGACCTTTTGGTGGTTCACGATCCCGCCCCTATTAAGACATAAGCCTATCTCATTTCTGAGCTATCAGCCCGCGGAAATGGGGAAAGACACATCGGAGTAAGTATGTTAAAGTCGCCTTGATGTTTATGACGTCATAATAACGCCATTCAAATCCTGCCATTCCACTAGCCATGCGGCGATTCAAGCCAAGGAAGTATGATTGCTGAGGCGTTCATATCTGCCGTTTGTGAACACGATTTGCAGATTTTACGGCCGTCAATTGGCTCTTCATCAATGTTCTGCACGGTGCCCTGACGTCACCATGACGCATTGAGGAGCATAGTTACTCATTATAGAGTTGTGCTGTCCGGAGCTGTCTTCTCCACTTAAGAAGTATACGAATAGAAGAATTTGTTTCATCATATCTGATGATTGCTACCATTTCTCACATGTGAAACATTCCCTTTAAGCTGGTCTACGAGAACCGACTGTAAATACAAGTGTCCGAAGTGAACCACAGTCTGCATTTGGTGGCAGCGAAGTCAACAACGCCCTGGAGTTAAGACATTGGCTTCTTCTCTCGCGCTACATCGGCTGCGTGCTTTGACAGCGCGCGTGTATGTACCGCGTAATGTACCTCGCGCTCGGACAACACGCCTGTGTCGACAGTGCGTTCGGACAGCGTGCCTGTGTCGACGGTGCGCTCGGACAGCGCGCCTGTGTCGACGGTGCGCTCGGACAGCGCGCCTGTGTCGACAGTGCGCTCGGACAGCGCGCCTGTGTCGACAGTGCGTTCGGATAGCGCGCCTGTGTCGACGGTGCGCTCGGACAGCGCGCCCCGACGGCGGACGGCTGCGTTCGCGACGTCTCTTCAGTTTCCTGGCTTGGAATCAGGCTTTATTTTAGTCGGTATTCAGGTCTGTTTTCATGCTGTCTTTTTATGCGCTGTTTTGACACGCTGGGTTTGTAGAATTACTGTTGTACGATGCCAGACATGGACGAGGACAAATCAGTAACGTGGACAGTTCGCACGACTTCCACCCACGTGAACGTGGCTTGCCTCGTTTTCCTGAGGATATATGTGTTGGTCATTTCCTGGACGATTTTGGCAGATATGCCCGACTGCAGATATGAAGTGATGTCCGAAAGGTAGATATTCTTTCCTTGTGCCTTTCGGGCATTGGCGGAGATGCATACGATGCGTTACCCAGGGACCAACAGTGGACTTTTCAGACAGCAACTAATGGCATCCGGACATCGTTCTTTTCGCACAGCACAGTGGATTATCACTTGGATTTAAGGGGCCTCAGGTATGATCGTGCCAAGTCTCTGGGGATAACTTTTCCATGCCATTTCGTAAACATGCTGCCAATGCGTTTCCCAACCAGTCAGCTGATGGTCAGAATGAGTTGCTGTTTAACCACTTGCTCTCAACACTGCCGGATGAATATCATTGGGCTGTGATCGTTGACGGCATTTCCTCTGCCGATGCTGCCGTGGCAAACGTCGGACAAAAGCGCAGCTTATGCCTATCCTTAGATGCAGCTCTGGCGCTTCTGTTGGCACGCTAACTGCGGCAGACAGAAGCAGCATATCTGTCGCTCAGCTGGAGCGACAGCTGTGCTGCCCAAACAGACCGTCGCTGCGCAAATGCTGTCGTTTCTTCCAGAAAAAGTCTTGGAAAAAAGCAACGGTTACGACGACCGCTGAGCTTAAGGTAAGGCTGGATCACCAGTCCGCCAGATCACGACCAGTCGGGTCCCGTCAGCCGCGTGTCATGCCTGCGGGGAGCGGGTCAGTCGAGGTGGCAGCGTGCCAAAATCGATCATCGCTGTCGGCGCTGCAGCACAGTGGGACACATGTAGGCGGTATGTGACAAGAGTTTCCCCGTGGGAAGCGAGCAATGGACAGGACAGGAGCCCGGGGTCGGGCCCCGTACGGAGTGGGCCAACAGAAATGCGGAAAGACTTAAATCTAGATATGACGCTCGGCGCTACAGAGTGTGAGTCAGTTGCACCTCCCTGCTTAACACGGGCAGTAACATTAACATCATAAACCAGACCGTGTTTAAAGCTTGCCCAAACAGACCGTCGCTGCGCAAAGCCGCAGTGCGCGGTATAACGGCCTCCAAGGGTAATCTGTCCTTTCTGGGTCGAGCTGTTCTAAGCTCTGATTTCGATAAGACTCCGGTAATGTTGTCCGTTGTCGTGTCACGGTCCATTGACGTGCCGTGTATTCTGGGACTTGATTTTCTTCAAGTGTGCCCGTGGGTGACAGGCATTCGCCGGGGCCGCCTCGTCCTAACGCTAGAAGCTACTGTGCGTTCTATCTCAGCCGAAGCCGTCCCGGTTGGAAGCGTGGAGGTCAGGGGTCATATTGTCGTCGCCCCGGGGGATGAAGCTACCACGCGTGCCTTTGTGCCCAGTTATGACTATCGTGGACCTGCAGTGGTTGAACTAGACCTTAATATAGAGGGCCTCGAGTTCATTAGTGCCCTTGTTGAGCCGGTTCGTCGGTGCCATGTGTTGTACACAATATAACAACGGAGCCTATATCAATCCCCAAGCGTGGTGAATTGGGGGCTGCTGGAAGTAAGGTTTGCACATAGCAAGTGAGCCAAACACATCGAACTGCTATAGCTTTGGTGACAGTTTTGACTCGGGAAATGTAGCTTGTGAGAAAAGCAGCGGGTAAGGTGCAGGCTGTGCTTAGCAAACATGGAGCGATGCTTGACAGCCTCATAAGATTCACCATCCTTGTGAGCCGTTGCATTGTCACTGGTGAGACTCCGGCTGTGCGTCATCTACCGAGACGTGTTCCGCCTCATCTGGCTGGTGAAGTCCAGACACAGGGTTGAGGAGCTGGTAAGCGAGGGCGCTTTGGAGGATGGTCCGTGGAAATTGGGCGTCGTTCCGTCACGAAGGTCCTATTCATAC